AATTAGCTGGCATATAGGCTTTGCTTCCCAATAAAGGGCATATTGTGTTGGTAACAAACATGTATGCAGCAGCCTCTACAAAACATCACCCCTTCAAAGATTTCACACTAAATACTGGGCTGCAGATCCCCCTCCCAATACCCAGGAACCACCTAGGATCAATGATTACTTCTTTCCTCCCTCTTAGGAGGTAATAACTACTTCAGTCCAGAATCTCCAGCAGGACATTCATGGCACTGAACACAGAAAGCAGAAGAGCCTCTCCTGGTAATGATCCTCACCCAGGGCAGAACAAGGTTACATCCAGTTAAACCATTTCATTATGGCGTGAAAGAAAGCATCCTACAGAGCAAAAGCAGACACCCAGTTCCCTTGATGAAGCCATACTGGCACCAACACCACGTGCTGAACCAGACTAGAACTTGAACTCCTGAAGAGAGGTGTCAGACCTCCAAGTCCCAAATAGGTGTCTGTTTTCTCTCTTTTTTTTTACTGTCAAAAACATTTGCTGTAAGAGAGATTGCCTCTGAGGTGAGCAATAGCTCCTGGAGTTACTAGAATGTTTCTTTCCTACTCTATAGGAGAAGTTTATTTTGCTTTTGACATGGTCCTGGAATTAAGTGGAAGTGGAGGAGTAGGGCAGGGTGGAAATCCAAGTAGTAAAACTCAGCAGGTACAATTCGGTCCTCATGTCACAGAGGTGACCAAATTGCACGCCAGATGGAAGCTTGACAACCTTTACTTGGAAAGACCAAAACAAAAGGCTGACTCCCTGCTCTATGGAGGAAGTGGGAACAGTGCCATGGAGCTCCACTTCAGCAGGCAGCAGTGGCGGGATGGTTGCTTTTTCTTCTTACACTCTTGTTGCTTAAAAACATGCCTGGGAGGAAGGCACAGCTTTATGCAACTGAAGCTGGAAGAACAGCCTTGAATATGGGTGAAACCTGGATCTTGTCTTAGAAGCTCAAGAGTAATTCCCTCAAGAACAAGTCACGCAGGAATCGTTCACCATGTATAAATAACCATCACGTCTGTTAGGGCAGTAAGGTCACCTTTCACGGCACAGCAGTCACTGACTGAACCTCTTCAAGAAAACTAGATGGCTCTGTCACCCTGCTACCCACAGAGTATGACACAGCCTGCAGACATCCTCAAGAGCAGCCATCCCTCTTTCAGCATCTTGTCAGCATCACAACAAAAATGAAGGGGAAAAGGGGCATGAAGGAAAAAAGTTGTCACAATGCAAGAAACGTTGTGAGTTTTATGTGAATTTATCTTGTGAAAAGTATTTCAGAGGCTGAAGAAAATTAATATATCTCCTGTATGTGAAGATTTAATCTGTCTGTTTAACAGGCTTTTTTCCTTCTTGTTTCTCTTTGTAGTACTCCAGAACAATTTACCAGAATCAAAGAAGCTGAAAACAAGGCAAGATTTCTAGTGCTTGACCTTAGATGCAATAACATTGAAGCACCGACAGCACAGCTGGCAGCCCACTGATCTGGTGAGTTTCACCAGCCCCTGCGGCAGGGTAAGTCTTAGAGCTGGCACACCAGGACGAAGGAGGAGAGCCCAGTTTGCTAACACTAGACTTCCTTGGAGCCCCTCTTGGGAGTGATCTGTGTTTGACACTCTGTCGTATGCCAATTTCTGCCTCTCAAAAGGGAGATCTGTTTAACTGATCTGGACTGTAAAGAAAAATCAAGGTCTCTCCTGTGTTGGCATGCTAAGAGACCTACACTACAAACACCCACACAGACAAGTCCTCCTGGGACAACTGTCAATTTATTTCCAACACTGGGACCACGCAAAGCACCCTGTGCACTTTCCACCCACGTGCCACTGACAAAACACGCAGCAAATGTGTCCTTGCAAGCCCGGAGACAAACGGGATAGGGAGAAGCACTGCCAGAAAAGTGGTAAGGAAATTTGTTTCATTCCCAGCCAAGTGACTCAGAGGAACCAAAGGACAGAGGAATTTGTTGCCAACTCATGGCAGCGTGTAGGCGTGCATGGCCTGGGCACGCTCCCACCTGTACTGCAAGAGGCTATCCTGTCTCCTGTGCCAACATGCTTATACACCCACTGGGCGAAGATTCCTGAAGACGAGGACTCAAGGAAAAACTGTCGATTCAGATCAAACCAAGGGGCCCTGCAAAACACGCAGGAGTAACTAAAAAAAGGGAGAAGCCAGACATCATACATGCATCTTCTCATTCCCTCAAGTGAAAAGAATTTGAACAGGATCCTTTTAGCTAGACAAACTACAGTTTGTGTTACACCATGTACGTCTTTTCAACATATACCAGCAAAAAGGCATGGCTGGGGAACAAGAGAATACTTCCATAACATGTCAAAAATTGCCTGTTTTTCATTAAACAAGTCATACATCTCCATGTACTGATAGTCCGTGAACTTATAAGGCCTTCTAAAAATAACAAGGTCTGGATTACATATCTAGTCAGAAAAGAGGTTAAGACATGCACTTCTGGCAATATATACCCACTGAGGAAATAATCTCCAGGTCAAACAGAAGTTCATAAACGATTTTGATATAATTAGTCATTTGCAGGCGCTGAAAAGAACAATTCTTAGCATCAGACTTCCCAGCGTAGCCAAACATGTCATTTGCAGCAATGAAGTGAACAACTTGGATTTCCTCCCTGTACTGCCTCCAGGCTACATACACCAGAAAAGATTTGCTGAATATACAGGTAATAAAGTTTTATATAGTATGCCCCATGCCACGCCTTACGTTTTGAGGCACAGATTCAGCAATGAGTGCCAATTGCCATACTATCACAAGCGATCTTAAGAGCAAAGCTTCCACTCTCTTCAATAAGCCTCAAAGTAGACCCTCAAAGCCACATAGAAAACTCTCCTCTGCTTCAGTAAGCGTCAAGTTGTAACCCTCTAGCCAAAGGCTCTCATGTGAATTAGGCTGGATCTGGCCCATACTGCCCGAGTATGCACGGTTAATTCAGTGTTAGCAAGAGGAGGTGAGCATAATCCCAGTTCAGGGCATTTGGAATGCCATTCACACACATGTACAAGAGGACAGAGGACTGTTGCTGATTTTTGAGCTAAATATTTGCAGGAAATACTCAAATATGTTCTAGGAAAGTGAGTTCGCTTTGGGAATCTGAAGTTAACTAACTGAACAACATGGAAAAGCTGAAATGGTTTTGGCTTTCCATGGAAAATTCTGTGTATTCAACCACAAAGCAATTACTGGAAGACGAGGAGGAAAGGGGTCAGGGTTTTCAATGAAAACTAAACGAAGCAAATCTGCAAAAATGAACCAGACTTTCTTGGTTGCATTTTTAGCATTTAATCAATACTTCTACCCTTTTAGTTTTAAATTAGTCATTACAAATTCTTGTTCTTCATAGCAGGGAATTATTCCTTATTTCCAAAAAGGCAGAAGTTTCTGCTGCTAGGGCAGAACAGCAGCCACCCACCATCCTAACAGCAACTCTGCTAGCACTGCAGCAAATGTGCTCAGTGGATAAACAAGTGCAAGCTGCGTCATACACATAGGGTGTATTTCTTGATACGTGGAAGCTTGCTATATGTAAACTCGAGTCATTACAGACAGGCCAATCACAATATTTACAGTCAGTGCTAGACGCCTTATAGACAACACAGGCTGTTTCCATACATATCAACCAACCTCCACACCAGCTGGATTATTTTTAACAATACAGAATGAAACTCCCTGTGGATGAGATTTTTCCAAGGGCAATCTGTGACCATCTCAGCTTTACCACCTTAATAGTGTAAAGAGTTCAAGGAGCTATTATTTTTTTAATGTATGTGTATACATATATACACACATAAATCTGTCTCTCTCTCTCTCTGTGCATATGACTATTTATTTGCTTTCATCTTTTGACACAACTATTTACAGGAAGGCAGTGAAGGACTGCACCAGCAACCCATCATTCTCCAATGGTCATCTTTAATGTCTTTCTTCCCTTTCCGTGAAAACCCAAAATAGCCTGGGAAGTAAGACAGGACTAATGAGCCGTTACTGCACGCAGGAAGTAGCAGGCTCAGTCTGACAATGACAAGACCTAAATTCGGTACGGATAAAGCTTTCATGAGCAGCAAAACAGTCATGCTCCTTGTCAGTGGAGCAATAAGTCTGAGTAGGGAGACCTCAGGAGTGAAACATAGACCTAGAGTATTAAAGGGCCTGGTTATAACAGAGCATCTCTCCCACTTAGGACCTAAACCTCTTTTTTCTCAGCTGTGCAGATAAATGGTTTGAATAACAAGGGTTCAACAACTTCTAGATTAAGGAGACACTTTTCCTGTGTTGCTTTCTGGGGAGATGGATCCACAGAAGTTACAGAATTGTTAACAACTTGCAACTTAACTCATTATCAAGTTTCCAATGTCTTTTTTTTCCCCTCCCATCCTCCCTTTCTTTTTCATGTTTTTGGTTTTATTTAGCCAAGAAACTTCCTAGGGCTCCACCTTCAGATATTTACAAAGCTGCAAATGACATCTCCGTTACCAACAAAGACTGCTTTGCCAGAAACATGGTAAATAACAAAAAGTTTGTCCTTTACATGTTAACTTATTTGTAATTATTAAAAGAATGCTACTTCTCACTGCTATTTCCAGTTCTCTTCTGGCCAGCCCATGCCCCAGCTGACCAGCAAAAAAAAGCTGCAACATGAGAAAAATTGGCCTAGATTCTCAGCTACTCTAAATTGGGATAATTATGTTGCCCTCAGCAGAACCAGCTTACACAAGCTGGGACTGTCACTCTTCATAATTACTATACATTTCTGTGGAATATAATTTGATCACTTCTGTAAATTCAAAGCAAGCACTCAGCCAGGTATGTCCATTTCACAGGGTCATAAATGCGCACAGCCTAACACACTGAAATAGGTGTCACGGCAACCCACAGAAATGCCTCGCACCTCTGCGGAAAGGGGGAAATGGCTGGAAACTTCTTCTTGCCACTACCAAAGAGCTCTGCACGCTAGATGGGAGATAGCAGAGCCGGAGAACTGCTGATGTCCTACGTACTGGGTGAGCCGGTGGTAAACACACACCGGATAGTGCGGAGGTAAACTACCTGCAATAGCCCCCCCAGAAGGGGAAAAGAATTCCATTACTCAGGGAACTCATAAGGCCTGTGGTGATTTGGGTTTGCAACAAAGAGAAACACTGGGAAGGAGGAGGAGGAAAATCACCAGTCGCCTTTCATAACTGCTGCTGTACTGTATCTTCTCCAGGCAGGAGACCCCAGTACCCAAACAAGACAGATCGAAAAATACATAATCAGATAAAGTCTAGCCAGCTTCCTTTCATGATATTTCCACCTAAACACATCGACATGAAAGATGTTTTCTTTATAAAACAGTTTATGAAGTTCCAGCATGCCTCTTACACATCACATCCCAGAACTTCAAGTTACTTACAGGGAAAATAACCCCAAATATCACATCAGAGCAGCTCAGATTCTTTTAAAGACAAACCTTCTTACTACTTGGGAAGAAGCTGAATTCTTCCAGGTGCACAAACTTCCTATGAGCATTACTGTCTTTAGAGTGAATGCTCCAGATTTGACAAGAATGATAGTCTCTAACTATAAAGAAAGGATGTACTTAAATCCTATGTGTACTACTTATATCACCAGAAAACACCATTGTTGAATTTCAAGAAAAATAATTGAAACATTGATACCATCATGAAGAAAACAACCCAAGCTAAACGAGGATTCACAAATTCTGCTGTCTTTAGTAATAACAGAAACAAAATAGCTGAACTCCACGCCCACACATTTGCACATTGTTGACCTAATTTGAAAATCAGTGACTGAAATCTATCAGGAACACCCACCAGCCTGAGACATAAAGACCTTCCCCTAAAGCTGGCGAACATCATGAAAAAGAAATGTCCTGTAAAAACTAACTCATCTCTCTGCTACATAACACACAAAGCAAAAAAGCTCCAACACCGTGACTGCTGGGCATTTCAAGGGCATACTGAGCATCCCCCACTAACCCTCCCCAGCTGATGGGAATTCACAACTCCACTCCCTGAGGGCCATCAGCTGCTTTTAGCTCTATCTTGACCTTGCAAGGCAGTTTCTGAGAAGTTCTGAAAACAGCGGGGTCTTTAATAGGTGTGAAACTGAATAGGTTGAGATGGTTTTCGTACTTTGAAGGACAACGGGAACTCTTAATGAAGACCTAAGCTCTTCATTGGATCTCATTTCCAGTGTTTGCCACACTCTTTCTTTCCGGTTAAATACTGTACCTACATTTCCCTCCTGCAAATGGGAGAGTGTTCACTGTAAACAGGCAGATGATTGCCATCCAAACAGTGGCAAATATTTTCAAAGAAAAGTGAAAAGTAGTTAACCATCCTGCTGAGCATGGAAAAGGCCAGTGGAGAAATTTAATTTAAAGGATTTTAAATGCAGCAACCAAGTGCAGCTTCCAGAAATGCTTAGCGCAACACATGATACATACACAATCTCCAAAACACATTATTCTGGGCCAAAGAAGAACCCACTGAACAAAGTCTCTGAATCAGTGTCTCAGCTGTTTCTGCAGCTCCACCTCAAGTAGTACACCCCCACCTCCTGTATTTTTATAAAGCTCATAGTGACAAGGTTGTATTAAGGTGTTATTCTGAAAATGAGAGGATCAATCTGCCTCTCTCCCAGCTACTTCTGGGGAAAGGGAAGCTGGAACAGACTGGACAGTCCCTGGATTGCCCCGGCAAGGGCTCTGCTCTGGCAGCCTCAGCATGGGATGCTGCTGGGTCCAGGGAGCTGGAGGGAGGAATCTGCCGCTAGCAGACATGAGATAGCGCCGACTGCCACGACCGTAAGGGAATCAGCTTTTTGGAAACAGCTGGATGGGAAAAGCGTTCTCTGATGGGCTCCTATGGACTTAATGAGGATCATATACGTAGAAATACGGTCCATAACCTCCAGACTTCTTTCTTTCAAGGAGATTTCTCTATTTCCTATAGGGCTTTTTAGTTAACAGTGGGACAGAGCTTATTTGTGTCTTCCTCAACAGATGTGGTTTCACCTTAGATTTCAGCTCTCCTGCTCTGATGACCATGCTCCCATCCTCCCACTCAGAATCCTTTGTCCTTTTTGATACTGTCTCATGTGATAACAAGCAACCCTCATCATCTTCCTGCAGCATGGCACATTGCCATTTTCTCGCTAGAGAAATAAAAAGCTCTGTCTTTGCCTTTTCCTTCAGACTGAATACACATATCATTGCCCACCTACCTATTTGTTACAAATACCTGTGGCTCTCTAAAGCCATTCTATCTCCAAAAATTTGATATTTTTATCATGTTGATGTTTACAGCATTCTTTTTAAAAAGTCAGTAAAATATTTTTCCCTTCATTCTGTAGTTTTGGAGTTGATCTTGTTTCAAGATTCAGAGACATTTTGGTGGTGATTGTTAATGCTCCAAAAATATTGTAGGAGGTACTTAATTCAGCCTTTTCACTGTGACACCTTGGGAGGTGGAAGCAAGAGATAGCTTGTACAGCAAGGAGCTATGCAAAACTATCAATCAGGTTAATAGCTGAACTAGGGATTTTTCAGTCAACAATCTGTTACGAAGGCATCTTCTGAGCAGCAATCACCTTTGAACAAATTTGTAAGTAGGTGAGATCAGTATGCATGATAAAAAGCCCAGGGACTGTTTAAACTTCTTGTTTGAAGTGTGATAAGTTAAAAATGTCTATTTGTCTGAATTTCAGGGGGAAAAAAGCATCTCCAAGGTCCTTTCTTTGCAACAAGCTGGCCAGTTCATTATACTGAGCAAATAATGGCACGTCTAATTATTGTGGGAATATTCCAAAAGGGCTAATGTTGTATATGACAGTAAAAGGGTTTTGATTAACCAGAAATCATTTGGGAGAGTATAAAAGTTACTCTTTACCCTTAATTCTTTCTGCCTTCCACAGATGAACCAAGCTCATCTCAGGCCCCTGCCAAAATCTGACAGCATGAATTGGAGAACAATAATTTATGTTATTTTATTGGTGAGCCTTACTGTAGTCAAAGCCCTGCCTAGAAGGTATCGGGACATAGGTAAGGATATATCTCTCATTTTTACTCTGTTCTTTGGTATAGTACTGATGACTGCAACTGCACATGGATGGTTATTTGGTATCTCACTTTGCCACTGCCTGTTCTACATGGGTATTTTCTCATGGGTCAAAGGTATACAACAAAACTGCACCTGTATAAATTCTCTGTGACCGAACTTAGATGTGTTGCTTCTTTATGGCTTGAGAATCTATGCAGAGTGCAGGACAGCCAGCGATTACTGAGACAAAGTGTACCGAAGGGTAATTTCATCCACAGGGCTGTGGTTGCACCACTGATTTCAGGTACTCCAAAAACTGCTGAAGCAAAGCCTGGGGTTGTTCCAGCCTCCCTCTACAGTCCACGAGGAAGTGAGACAGAGAAGTCCCAGGAGGGATGGTACCTCCCGGTGGCTATTCAGAGTAGCTAAGTTAGGCTATTGCTCTGTATTTTCCTTTGCAGGGGCTCTTACTCTGTCTTCACTGACTACTGAAGGGTCCTACAATGACCGCACTTCTCACTAAGGTTAAGTGCCTAAAATGAGACAACTGAAAACCTCCAGTAGTATGTGGTTCTGAAGCTTCTTTCATGTTACATATTGTTATCATTAGTCAACTTTTTCTTCCCCTTTAGGACTTCCAAAGGCACTAAACAACCCAACAGTGTAAAACAGAACCGATGCCTGTGTTATGTATCTCGTGTTATTGTCTCAGCTGACACCCCTGCATTACTCAGAGGGAGAAACTGGCTTATTTCTTTGATTTGTTTGATCCTTTTACACTGATCTCAGCCCTACTGACACGAGGGTGAGACAGTAACATCTTGATTTGGGAACAGGCCCCGTATTTTAAAATTAATCTCTCAGAATAGTCTCTGACAAACAAGGAACTCAAGAAATTCTTGCATTTAGGTTTACCCCTTAATAAATGCCCAGTGGTAAAGAAAAATATTTGCACAGCATCTTCACATAGCTTGCACACTTGTTTTGCTCTGGACCAGTTCACAACACGGACAGAAGGATGCAGCTCTGTCAATTTTTGAGGAGCTTTGCCTACCAATATAATCCTCAATTTATCCCATGTTTTCTGCACAGAAAATCCTTCATCTGTAGCTAAAGAGCAGTCAAGCACACCTTTAAATAGCTAAGGCAAGGTTAAAAGGTATTTTGTAAGGTGCTTATTTAATCACGTGAAGCGCATCATCAAAGCAGCTGAAGGCCCTCCAGGTTTTAGCATATTCCTCCCCACAGTGCTTAAGCCAGGTAGGGAACTTGGCCCTATTATATTGTAGGTCAGAAACAAATAGTTTCACATCTTCATGCTTAAGTTTAATAGGAGGTTCAATCTTATGCCTTCCTACTCCCAGTGCTAGTACCCCAGGCACCAAATTCGCTTTCCCCAAGACCCCAGTACAAAAAAAAAAAAAAAAAAAAAAAAAAAAAATTGATGAAGCATTTAGTAAACACTTTTTATTCAACTTTTCCTGTTTTTCAGAGGAAAAAAACAGCATTGGCCAACGTTTTTCTCAGCTGCAGGAGAATAATTTTAAAGCCATGTAAGTTGTCCAGGTAAAGCGTCTACTTGCAAATTTGCTGCCACTAAATATCCTTGCCTCATTTGGAAATGAGCATGTACCATGAGTCAAACACTCACCCGTTCCGCCAGCCCGCACTAACTCAGCCCGGAATGATATGGATCCTCTTACTGTCTCGCATGTAAAAATTATATAATTGTTTTTAGGTGGCCAGCAACAGGTTTAATGCTGTGTGTTCTTTTCGTAGTGCCATGATCATGTTTGCTCAGTACGTGCAAGGAGGCACGTTTGTCAAAGCAGTTAAAATGGCTGAAGATGTCACAGACCTTGCCAAAAGGTGTGCTGCTGCAGCCAGAGACAACCCGGATTGTCTGAAGCCTTTGGTAAGCACATTTATGCTTCTCATGTGGCAAACATTTTTAGACTTGACCTGTAATTTCAAAGCCTTGGTATGTGTTTTTCCAAAGACGTGTGAATACATTATTAAGAGATGTGATTTCCTTGTGTATGCATATTTGGCCTTACCGACTCGTTCTGCAGGCTCCCATCTATAAATCATCTAAGATAAGTGGAAGAAAACAAAGCCCCTCACCTCCCCCCCCCCCAAATATCACACCAACTTTTTAAATCCTTGACCTGTATTTTTCTAAAAGATGTTCAGAAAATTGTGCTTTTATGGCTGGTGTAACAAAATTCAGGAGAAGCCAGATTAGGTATGTCTATTTCCACTTCATTAACTCACAGTCCTGGTTTTTGATGGTGTCTGCTCCAACACACTTTTGGAGCTGACAGATTGAATCATGAGACATGAATGTCAGTCTGTGTTACGGCTCATTTCTGATTTGTTAGACACACTGAAACAAACCCTGAATTAAAACGGTTCCCAGCTGAGGTGTGACTGATAGCTGGACCTGAGCACAGCTACTTGGTGAACAAGAAACGAGACACTTTTCATTGTATGAACCTGACTGTAATTAGAAAACATAGATCCCGCAAACTGCAGTATACAAATCGATCACCTTGATCATTATCAAAAGAAAGGGTCTGAATAATGTTATAGGTCCAGAGTGTTTGAAAATAATTCCACTCAAAGTCTGTCTTGGCATAACAGTAGCTATCAGAGTTTGAGAAATCATCACTTGGAGGTTTTAGAGGGCAGTCTGGTTTTCACTGCAGTCAAAGCAGGAGATAATAAAGAAAGAAACTGTGAGTTTATGCAGGTCGGGGCTTGCTGGCTTAAAGTAGCCTCCCCAGAGAGCTCAGAGGAGTAAAATGGAATCCTCACACAAATTAACTTTTTTCTAATTTTTCACAGGACAGGATTTTCCTTGATACAATATGCCAGGACGAAAATCTTCCCAGGTTTACTGACTGCTGTGCTAAAATGGATCCTGAAAGAAATGACTGCTTCCTCTCCCTTAAAAATTCATCGCGAGGGTTCATTTCTCCTTTTGAAAGGCCAAATGCTGAAGCTGCCTGCAAAAATCACTCACAGCATCAACATCCATTAACAGGATAGTAAGTTAATAAATCATAGGTTCGTTGCCTAGATATGACAGTTATGAGCCTGGAGACAGCAAATGCAGTATCAACCAAAAAGTTCAGTCTAAGATTCTCTGCAATCTCATACTCATTTTTCTTCCTAATGTGAATTATTTGCATAATTCATCTAGCTGTAACTGTCACGATGTGAAGCCTGTTCTGCCACCTCCTGCTTTGGATATAGGTACAAATGACAAACAATCATCGGGCCTGCTTGATGATGGCCTATGTAAATGACTCATCTGAAACCAAGGGCCTCCCTTCAGTCCTTAAAAACCAAGCAGAAGTCTTGCTGCCTCTAAGCCAGAAACTGGCAGGGTTTGAGACTTCAATTTCCAGAAAAACGTCAGCCCCATCAGAACCTTCCAAGATAAACACCACACTATACAGCTCGTTGGGATGACAGGAAAACAATCACTTTTAGCAACTCTCATTTTTAACATATGGCAGATGCTGCAGTAACACTGCTGCCTCTGCCTGTAGGGGCTTACTCCAAAACTAAGGATATTTTTCTCTTGCCTTTAGTTTTATCTACGAGGTTTCTAGACGGCATCCTTTCCTCTATGCCCCAACAATCCTTTCTGTCGCTATCCGATATGACGAGATGATGAAGAACTGCTGCGGAAGTGCTGAACACCCCACTCATAACCTGGAGGAATGCTTTCGGAGACAGGTATTCCATTGCAGGGTTTTAGTTTATTAAGGTGCAACCAGGGACTTCCTATAGCTAAACAATTATTGAAGCAGAGATATCAGCTGTTTCTTTTCCAGCATCTGAACCCATTATTAGAATTCACCTTGTTAAGGACAGGCTGACATCAGACTGAAATGCTCTCTTGATTTATAGCTTGACCTCCTAAATGAAAATGTCCGACTGTGGGGTGTTGGGCAGATGTAGCTTTACAGGGAGCCCAAGGCAGTCCCCACGCCCTGCGACGGCATCCTTGTCCACCCTGACTCTGCTACCTGCACTGGGTTTGTCGTAAGGATGCCGAGAGAGGACGTGGTGCTATGCACGGTGCAGAAGTCCAATTTTTTTTTTACTGTTGATAATCCCATGACACATCTCCTGCTTGGCCGAGCATTTGCTCTGCAGAGACATGCCCCGCACATAACCAGTGTCAGAAATTCAAAGCAAACTACCTGTAACAGTGGAAAATAAGGATGACGAACCTGCCCTTGCTGAATGGCTGAATGTGCCTTTCATGCAGCTTGGCTGGGCTGCAAGCGATGGCCTAGTTTAACATTAGCTCACAGTAATGCAAAGCCAGTCATGTAGCTCCCAGATGACAAATTACTCCCCTATGCTAAAAACACCGAACTATTGTCTAAAAGAGTTCTGGTTTCTTTTCACAGAACACTTACTTAATAAATGCTGGTGACTAAATAGCAAGCACAACAGTTAGTCCATATTGTAGCTTGGACAGCATTTTTCTTTCACTGTTAAAAAAAATCCCTGTTCAAAAACTGTCGCCGCAGTAGTTTTAGCATAAAGCATTGTCTTTTCTTCCGCTTTCATGGTCTGCATCTTCTTTCTACCAGGCACCAAAGGTGGTAAAGCCAGTAAAAGAAGATGGCCTGAGGCAGGAACACACATGTGGAATCTTGAAGAAGTTTGGAGAAAGGACCTTAAAGGCTCTGTGAGTCTCCCCCATGTTTATCATGATTTTGAAAGAAAGTGTGGATGTTGCATGTTAGCTGTGGGCGGTTCCACACCTGCACAGAGTACAGTGACTCTGAATACCAGCCATGTCCTTTCTGTGTGCAGGTCACGAGTAGCATCTGACAAGGAAGACAGATTAGGAATACAAATTTATGCATGACAGCCGTCACTGTTTCCTGACACGCTGCCATTAGCTTTCCAAAGCTAAACCCAAAGTTTGAAATGAATGCATCTCTCTGTGGTGAAAGTTAGAGTGATTGCAAGCAAAATACAACTCATGTCTCTCAACCATTTTTGACACAACGTTGCTCCTGTAATTTCTTGCTCGCCCACCACCTTGCCTTCCTCCATCTCACGCTAAAATTCACCTAGGATCCTTAGATAACTCTGAAAATCTCAGCTATTGGCTTCAAGGGACATTTATTTGTTAACTTCAGTGGCAGCAGGGAGAGACCATTCCTGAGCAATTTGGATACCCCCTCCACAGAAAAATGATGATAGCTATCACAGTCTCACACTGTGAATATAAGCAATAACTACTTTTCTTCATTGTAGGAAACTTGCTCAGATAAGCCAAAAATTCCCTAAAGCTGATTTTGTTACTGTTAACAAACTTGTGATGGATATTGCTAACATGCACAAGGACTGCTGTCGTGGAGATATGCTGGACTGTATGCATGATAGGGTAAAACTCATTTAATATTTATAAGTTTGCAGAAATTGAATGCTTTTGTTGTTGTTGTTTCCAGATTTTTTTTTTCCTCCTGTGCTATACTGATTGCTCTCCAAAACTGGAGTTTAACTCTTGAGTCTAAAAACCTGGCTGATTTTCCCATTTGACTTTTCCTGGTGTGAAGTCATCAAGAAGGGCAGAAAGATCACTTTGTGACTAAAATGACCCAACGCTGCTACAGCAGATTTGGTTGCAGCTCCTAGCTGCGCCATCTATTTTCTGTGCAGCTTTTGGCAGAACACAGTATCTGCCCGTCCTTCACTCTCCACCTTCTTCTAACATACCAAATCCAATTATCACACTGCTTGTCTGCGGTGTCTAGCTAGACAGCTAACTTCTCGGGTTAGGTGGTTACCTATAGCACCTATCAAATGGCAAAGCAAGGGACTGCAGCAAATAGTTCAACAGGACTTCAGTCTTCCTCCTTGTTCTGTCAGACGTCTGTTGCACAGCTTTGGCCAGCCACCTCTTTTGGGGAGCCACCTTCTCTGTCTGTAAAATGGAGATAAAAACACTGATTTAAAAAAAAGACCAAATTGTGGTATAATTTCCTTCATTCTCTTTTTTGCTTTACAGGAAGAGATTCTACACTATGTCTGCACCAACCAAGACACCCTATCAAGTAAAATTAAGACGTGCTGTGAAAAGCCTCTGTTACAAAGAAGTGAATGCATAGTTAATGCAGAAAATGACGACAAACCTGCAGACTTGTCCCCCCACGTCAGGGAGTTTATAGAAGACAAAGGAATATGTGAACGTTTTGCCCAGGAGAAAGACACACACTTAGCCAGGTAACGTGGGTCCTTCTCTACTCCTCAATTTTGCTGTTTCAATACTTGGGTCAAAAGATGACAGTCTGGCCGTTAAAGCCCAGCTCATCAGCCTCAGATTTGTCTGCTCTGTGAGCATGTAGGCACAGGATACTGTGCAAGTTGACCTTAGAGAAGCGCCACTTAATGCTGGAAGGTGTGGAATGGCGACAAATGCAGAACAGGGCACTGTTGTTATTTCAGAGACAAAACAGAAGAAACACAAGTGAAATTTAGGTACTATCAGTTCTGATCTCAGGCCCAAAACGTAGCTGTGATCTGCTCTAAGTGGGAATCCAAAAACACTTGCTTAAGTCAGACTTGTGTCTTGATTCAAACAGGATTGGTCCATTTCTGTTCTAGCCATGTTCCTTTGCACAAGGAAGCCCCGATCCTACCCGTAGTAAACGTGGGCAAGAATGCCACAGGCTGCAACAGAAACAGCATCGAGTCCCAAAGACAGAGAATTCACTTCAAATAACGTACATTGCTTCCATTTATGAGAAGTGCAGCTAATCGATTGGGCACAACTGCAGTGTAGGGTGACTGCTTCAGCAGAGCTAATCTGTTTGGTGACCACTGAGAAACACGTCTGTTACTGGAAATGATTTCATTATCATTTAGATAGGATTAAAAGGAAGAGCAAAACCCCAAGCCCCACAAAGCTCTAAGCTACGCTTGACCCAAGGTAACACTGATCTGGGACAGTTACGTGCACAGCACTTGCTCAGGCAACGCTCTGCTCAGTCAGCCCCGTTTTGTTCAGGTTCTGTTCCAGGCTGAGATGCCATGAAATTCTCCCTGTTCCACCAAGACAAAACCATCCTGAAAGCACCCCTGCTGTCCTTACCATCCCCGACCTCGAGGGCAGTTGTTTTGGCTTATCTCTAATTCCTGATCCTCCATGTATTGCAGGTTTCTGTACGAATATTCCAGGAGACACCCTGAATTTTCTGCTCAGATGCTTTTAAGAATTGGTAAAGGATATGAGGACCTACTGAAAGAGTGCTGCAAAACCGGGGCTCCAGACAACTGCCGCAGCAGAGGGGTGGGTGCCGTCGGGCTTCACACATCATACTGATGGATTCAAGCATGTGACCACATGACTGGTTCTGGCTAAGTAGTGAATGTCCCTGCTCCAGGTCTAGATTGAGTACCCACAGCTCCTGTAACAAATCCAGCAAATATTACAAGGCCCGACTGATTCCCAAATGGAAAAAGCACCAACAGATTTTGCAATCTTCACTTGCGACGCAATTTAACATGGGTAGACAGAGATGTCGGGGAAAGGGATGGAGCTAACATTTCTGTGAGCTCTGCTCTCTTTTGGGCTCCCTAGCAGTGCCAATTGCCCCTCTTGCAAATGTAAAAGGCATTTGTGGTTATTAGCTCAGAAAAAAGACACTGGCGTTGTAAGTATCTGAAGTTAGGAGCCACCCTGTGTCTCAGACCTAGCCTTCCATCAGTGATACAAAATCAAATATTTCAAGGTGATTGAAGCTGGACATTTATCACATTCAGGCAGTTTATAGAGATTTCAGACAGATGAAGACTTTCTAAGGGAATTAAAAATATATAATATATATCAGGTGAGAGGTATCTATAGATATCCAGGCCTTATTGTGAGGCAGTAGGGCTTTCTGCATTCCCCCCGATACAATGACTCCTCAAATTAACTTTTTTTTTTTTTTCAGGAGGAAGAACTGAAGAAACATATTTATGAAACTGAAAGTGTCATGAAGACAAGCTGCGACATTTACAAGGAGAAAGGAGATTACTATTTCCAAAACGAGTATTACTTTTTTTATATGCTTACATTACTCCTGTACCAGCTGGGCACAACTTGGCCTGGAGTAAAGCCACACATGTCAAAAAAGCTAGGCTAAAAGACACCACTTGAATATTTGGACCAATATATTAATGGCTTCTAGGTGTTGGGGTTTTTTCCCTCTTTTCCAAGACAATGTTCTGGGCTCTCATGAGTTCTCTCCTCAATCCAGCTCATGAAGCAATGAAGGGACAACTTGACCAATCTCCCGGCCATGCTGCCTGTGATGTTCTTGCTTTATAGCTGCATTTTGAGCTGGGAGCTGTTAACTTAAGAGTCATAAATTTGACCAATAGACAGTTGCTGTGTCTTTTGCAAAAGACTTTGCTCTAGGCAGCTCCTGCAGCAGATGTGAACATTAACAATTGTAACAAAAAATAAAATCTAACTACAGTAGACAGAGCAAAACTGGCCTAGCTGAACCATATGCTATGCTTAAACGCAACATGCAGGCACAAGCCTCCTGGAGGAACTTTGGCCCTGATTTGCAATGGTAATGAGCACATGCCTAACTTAAGGTATGTAAGCGAACTCAAGGAAACCTCTAAACTGCTTGTGTACTTAAAGTTAGGCTTCAGCTATCCTCCTCTGGGGAGGCACATTGGGCTTGTTGCACTCCCGAGCATGTTTGATCTTTAAAAGACCTTTGGAACTATAGGTTTCCAACAAACCTGGTGGGCTGCTTCTGCCTGTTGTATCACTTGTTAAGGTTCTCCTGGCCATGATGGTTAATAAGCACAGTTTTTTAAAAAGAAAAAACAAGCGAAGTTTTTTGAGCTTATCTTCTGCCCTCACCTAGTCTGCCAAGAGGTCACTCGACTTCAATTTTGCTCTTAGACAAGCTCCCTGCACTCCCAGGGAAATGAATAACATGGGAAAAACATATGTACAATCTGGTAAGAGGGCCCACCAACATATAACTGGCAATGCTATCATTAATTTTATTTGTTTAACCTGGTAAGAGACTGGCCAGGAAAAGGAGAGCACTCAAGCAAACAGAGCATGGTTATACTTGCCTATGTGGTTTTATAAACACCAGGCTTAGTCCTGCCCTTGTACTGAAGAGTGTTCTGTGGCGTTTGGCTGGAGCTTTACACATGCAAAGGCTGTGGCTTGCTCACTGCTGCCTGGTGGAAGAAAAACACCAATATCAAAGAAATTATCATTTCAGGCTTCTCATGAGCTTCACCAAGAAAATGCCTCAGCTGACATCTGCAGAGCTGATAAAATTCACCAAGCAAATGACTACAATTGGCTCCAAATGCTGCCAGTTAAGCCAGGACAAGCTACTGCCTTGTGCTGAGGAAAACGTGAGTATTTTTTCTCCGTATCTCGGTCCTACTTTTTCTTGAAACTCTGCCACAAAATCTGCTGCCAGCAGGGTCCAAGAGCTTGGAGTAAAGGTAAATTGAGAGAAGTGTTCACTGAGCTATTGAGCTGGCCTCAAGATATACGTCCGTGCTTGAAGTAAGCATAACTCAGCATCATTGAAGTTAATGCTTGAATTAAACTACAGGAGGATCAGGAAATTGTCAGGCTAGTGCCAGGCAGTTAGCAGTTATGCAGTGCAAGCAATCTGACCCTGTTCCCCCTGAAGCTAATGATCTTGTGTCCGAGTTCATCCTTTCTAGACGCCTGAAGCTGTAGGGCTCTATGAAAAAGATCAATTTTGTATACCTCTTCCGGAAGAATTCTCCAGGCCTGTAAGCCAAATACTTAAAAAGTTTCAGCCTGTCCTCCAGCCACCCATTTGTACAACATCACCCTTACAAGAACAGCCGAACATACCCACAGAAACCCTGCTGATGACAATAAATCAAACGCAAGTATGCTTTTATGAAGAAGCCATGTAATTTCTATACACAAAGGACTGTCCCTAAAACCGCATATATGTATTTATTCTGAAAAATCTGAGCCATTTTTGCACTGACAAAAGTCACCATTCAGTAGAAAAATGAAATGTTATATATCTTACAAACAAGGTTTCCTTTAAATTCTCAGTTATTTTTTATAACTTCACTAAAAGCAACATGTACTCAGGGATTTTTGAAAATGAAATAATAATGTAAAATTGTTTTTTTCACTTGTCTTGGTAAAGCTGGATCTCGTGCTTGGAGAAATATGTAGAAGACACCTGACCAATCCTATAAACCCGGGAGTTTGCCACTGCTGTAGTAGCTCCTATGCTCTCAGGAGACCATGCATGGGGAAACTAGAAATTGATGAGAATTATGTGCCCTTAACATTGACTCCTGGTCTGTTCACTTTCCATGAAGACTTGTGTACAACTGAAGAGGAAAAGTTACAGCACAAGAAGCAGGAGTAAGACATGCCTGTTTGACTCTGTTACCCCTGTGTTTCTTATTCTTATCCTGGCAACGCTCACCTTTCCTTTGTCCACTCTGTCTTGCCTTCTTGTTCTGCGATACACCATTGGAAAAACAGCCACACACCCCTCAACCCCTCTCCCAAGCTCCTTTTCTTTCCTCTCATGCTAGTCCCAGTTTCCTCTGCTATCTGGTTCAACCTACATTTACTTGCCTCAGATTAGAAGAAAGTCGTTTTCAGAGGTGGGTGGCTGCACTGGTGTACACCCCACCAGGATGGAAGCAATAGGTGTCCAAAGTTAGGTCTGAGAAACATGCCCTCCCACAGTCCTTCATGGGAACTGCACGAGGCACTGCAAAGAAAGACACCAGAAAAACAAGGAAGCTACTGCCTGAAGTACTGCATGACCTTTATGGTTTAATTAGGGCTCATTTCTCAGAACAGGAAAGCCCATATATTTTTCCTCATCCCATGCACTCCCCCTCTGTCTCTTGTGTGCTGGCCCCCTTTTCCACTGTCACTGCAAGAAAAAAAACAAACCTCTTTGGCCATTAACTCGTGCTGTGGTGAACCCATACTGTCCCTCTGGAGTGATGCACAACACATAAACCACCTGCACAGTTTATTCACGGATAGTCGTGGTGGAGCAACTCCAAACAAGAGCATTGGTATTTTAGTTCACAGAGGAACGGGGCGCAGCTTTGGTCCCTGCTGCAAATACATTAGCTGGCTAGCAAATAAAAATGACAAAGCTGTAGAAAGGTAGCGGGCAGAAACAAAACAGGGACTTGGCAGGACTAGCGTTGGAGAAGTGCTTCGTAAGCCGTGTGCTTACCTCCCTGGTTCACGGGGCTTGCTTTGCTTTTCTTGCAGAATGCTCATCAACCTCATCAAATACAAGCCCCAGATCACACAGGAACAGCTGACCGCCGTCACAGCGGCCTTTACTGCCATGCGGGAACAATGCTGCAAAGAAGAAAACCGTGAGACATGTTTTGTGAAAGAGGTACCGTTTCTGTTTTCACCCATACATTCTGAATCAAAACAGAAACATGAAGTATATGCAAGAGTGTAAATTTCTCCATTAAGCAGCAAACCCAAAGCCTGGCTAGCCAGAATTCCTGCAGTTACATCTCCTAAGACAAACTTTATTGCCTGCACAAGTAGATATGTCTACCAGTTGAATGATCACTACAGAACTTATCTAATCAGTCTTGTGTTTATGTGCAGCAATTTATAGACACAGAGCTCAGCTACAACTGTTGCTTCTGGCTAGTCAGTGGGACTTGCACTGTTTAAGGATACAGGCAAAGGTCTTTCCCTGGCTAACAGTTCTTAACTGAACTTCTCTGGAAAAGTTCCTCTGCAAAATGAGGAGAAAGGATATACTCAAATTTTAGGTCAAAGCATTTTCCCTGTTTATTCTCGCTACCTCTGTTTTCCTCTTGTGTTTCCTGTGTTATTTTAGCTCACAGAACTTCATGCTGTGGAGCTACTCTGGCTTCTCTTTACTCTCCAGTAAATCTGCTTTTGTCTACTTATCTTACTCTCTTCGATATATTCCTTAACTGAACTTCAACAAACCACCCGTGACCCTTGAGCCATGCTCTCTCTTTTCCTAAGTCTTTGCCTTGCTTTGTTTTAAATGATAAAATACAGAAAATTCTCTCTTTTCTTAATCACAAATTTCTACCTCTGAACACACCCAAACAGCGTGTCTGCGAAGAACCATTCTACTAACTCTTCCTAATAGAATTGTATTTCAGTATTGTTCTGACAAATACCAAATCTTCTAAGGTAATCTGAGCTGAATAGTAAAAGCAAAACATATATTAAACATAGTGATATATGTATATGCACTTTGTATATACAGTGTTCGTACACAACTTGCAAAGATTATAAAACATTACTTACTGCTGCCATACTCATTTAACTTGCTCACAAGTGCATCACCTTCCTGACTCTAGTGCTCATACATATTTTGCTTTTTTTCAGGGTCCAGAACTTATAAAAAGAAGTGAAAAAATGTTGTCAGCGTAAAGAGCTTGCATGGCATAGTGGAAGATACTTGCTGAATGACAGGAAGTCGCACAAATGTAACAGTGAGCGTATCTTTTCTAAATGTTCAAAAAGTATAAACCAGAACGTATGATTTGTCATAGCTAAGAAAACTATGTTGTGGCTCTTTAGTCACAAATCTAATGAAGTCATGATGGTTTACACCAGCTACAGTTCTGCCACTGTCGGATCTGTGAACCGCTGTGAACAAGATAAAAAAAAGAGGTGCCACAGAATAAAACATCAAATTCCCGCACAGAATCTGGTGAGCTGTAGAACTGTAAACCCAGTCTGGTCGGAGAGCTCAGCTTACCTGAAAATCTAACATCTGTACCAATTTTATTCAGATGGGGGAAAAACCCGTATGCAAACTTCATCTCTGGCTCCTATCACTTAGATTAAAAATGATCAGGGATATGTAAACTTTAAACCAAAGCAAGTAACTTAAAGCTGGTTTAAATCCAGAGAGAGGGTACATCACATTAAAGAAATCCACCAAAAGAATAAGTTAAATGGATTGAAATTCAAGGGTGAGATCTGGCCACCATCTTAAGTTATGGAATATTATTTTCCTTATACCAAATAGTCACAGACACCAAAAAAAAGACAGACATTGTAAATCTTAAGCTTACGAAGCATAAATGCAAATTAGATCAAATTAAAAAAAATCTACCTGTAACCACTTCTAAATTATTTTTCAATCACCAAATAATTATTTTTGCATTTTTATATATATTCGTCCTTGAAATATAACACATTCATTCACTAATGTGGGCTGCTCTAAGGGAATTGTAAAGTTGCCTTTAAGCACAGAAAAAGATTATCCTGGGCATCCCAAAGAGGGCGAGAAAGAAGAAAAATGAGCAAAATGTCATGGAAAGGACAGAACATGGACTGCTGAAACACCTGGGCAGCAGATGAATGTTTAAAGAAAGCACTGGGAGGCTGCCAAATTTACACTCCAGGTGGTTTAGCACATAAACAGTTTTGGGTTTTTACTTTCATTTTACATTCCATTAGAAGGCATGCTGAAAATCAGTCAAAACCAGTACTAAAAGAAAGAAATATTTTTTTCTGGAGACCTTTGGCTCAAAGGAAGAGACACCCCCAGGTATCAGATTTTTTCAGTGGATGCACCTAGCAGTAGTTATCTTGGGAACGTTTGAAAATACCTGTAAGATAAAGAAACATTGCCCAAACAAACATCTCATAAAATGCAAACCCAGCTTAAAGTATTACCATCAGAGAGAAGGTTTCAGAGTCAGGTTGAAGAGATCAATCAAACTGAGTCCCATCAGAATCTATCCTGCATATACTACTAGGCAATCTCTTCCTTAAGGATTCATTAGATTTGTGGCTGACAGCAAGATGGAGACACGCTTGAAAATCCCTTTGCAGCATTTTCAATGTCAAAAGCGTCTTGGCAAATCAGAGAAATAGTGAGAAAAAAAAAAAAAGCTATGTTCTATGAGAACAAATTTAACGCATGACATTGGTATGATTAAGCAGCTGCACCGTTTCAGTACAGGAAAACTGCTCATCAGGGAGTTGTGCGGATAACAATGCAGTTATAACAAATCACAGGCTGACTAAGAGTCACCAGTGGTTTGCTGCTAATTAAAGTCTAATATCATGCTTGCATACCAGGGGTATAAACAGAACAACTGATAAAACAGAAGAACAAGCTATGTAACACACATATCATGGTTTCATTTTCCTCACCTCTGGTAAGGGCTTTGCTGGAGCATTAGGACAAATTTAGGGTACCTCACTTCTAGACAGCATTTCACTGAAAACAGAACAATGGTAACAGTCAACGATCCAGAAGACACGAAGAAGAAAGCTCAAGTAGATTGGGGTTGCCTTGGTTAATAAGAAAGGCTTGTAGGAACTTGGAAATCTTCAACATACCAAAAAAGAATGATCCCAGGACAAAAAGCAGGCAGGCAGCGCCTCGTAAGAGGAAAAAAGCACCGGGATCGACTGTCTGGGAAAGGTGGGGAGCTGTGAGACACATAAGTATTTAACAGGCTTTACCTCAGTATCAGCCATGTTTTCAATACCAAAATGATGATCAGATGGCCATCTTGGGCTTCTCAGCACTCTCTTTTCTTAAGATTTTATGTTCTGATGAAGATCAATCTTCTGGAATTTGGGGGGTGGTTTGGGGTTTTCAGCTTTTTTTTTTTTTTTCTTTTTTTTCAATCCAGTTCTGATTTCTGATTTTTCTCATGGGGTAGCTCAGTAGTACCAATTCAGGTGGGATATAGATTCTAAGCGCTGTCTTTATGGCTAATGGCTTAGGCTCCAAATTCAAAAGCAACCCCCATTTCCTCTGTCAGCTCTGTTATTCACTGGTGTGTTACCTTGAATATCCAATCATGCTTTGGAATAAATTCTTTCCCTGTTCTTGTCTCTATTTGTCACAAACAATTCACTTAAACGAGCACAATATTCACAAAGAACTAATACCACAGCACATTCACAGCTTTGTATCACTAGCCCTTAAAACCCAGCAGCCTCTAGCTAATCTGTGCTATGTTCCATGTGTATTTTCCAGCATCTTTCAGTCCCAGTTCAGCAGGACTGAAATAAAGTGAAATAAAAAAGATACCAAGTATATAACATCAGATGGTGACAAAAATGGCTTAATTTAGGAACTGTGTACATACACAGAGGATTGGAGAACCTGCTTGAAAACGTTTTCTCTCTTTTCCACATGCCTTGTGCATCAATTTCTCTTTTCATCTCAGACCAAGGAATTATGAGTACGTCCTATTCCAATATTTTCATACTGCACCTTCATACAATTCCTCAAGCATTTACAGAATGGAACATGTAACAGAAATAGCCCATTCTGCATGACAATACTGACACACTTCTTCATAGTACAAATGGAAAACAGGTGCTACAGCACAGGCAGAGATCACTGTAGCCCTTGCTGTTTTCTCATGAGTGCACACTAGCCTATGTCCCTACTCATGACTTCAAGCTATCTGAATATTGCTTTGCCAGTGGGTTCTGGTTTGTTCCTTACAGCAATTTAAGCAGAACAAAGCCAGAAATCGAGACAAAGATTCTGATTCCAGTACAATTTCCATAGCGCTTCAACAGAGCCAGCTGCTGCTTGAAACACACGTGGCTTCAGAGGAACCAAAAACTCCATCCATGACACAGCTGGATCTGCCAACTCCTGCTTGGGTTTGGCTAAGAACTTGACTGTGGTCTTCTTCAGACTTCACTGTAATTCAACCTTACCTTGCAAGTGTAACCTGTGATGTTTTAGGGTAGAGTTCTATACCTCCTAAACCTTGGCTAACATGTATTTGAATGGGTCCCTGGGAAAATTTCAGTGACACGTGTGTGCATACTTCTGTTGCTTCAAGGAACTTCTATCTGCACCTCTAAGGCAATGGTTAATACCATGCATTAACTGCTGAATTAGTTTTATTTCTCCCCTCTGTGCTCCCTTGCCCATAATTATTTTCCTGGGCAGGATTATAATAGACTGTACATAAAAATAAACCCCTTGCCCCAGCCACAGTAACTTCAATTAGCACAGTGACTTCTCATTTTTAAATTACTGTCTGAGTAACATCATCGCAGGCAGTGTGGAGTTTTTCATATTTGATTTATTCCACACGATTTCTAGACAACATGTTCTGCACTTGGACTTCCTCTCTCTCTCAGTATTTATCTTGTTATCTGCAAAAGCCAAACGTAGCTGAGGCAAAACAGAGATATCATGTAAAAAAACCAGACTAATAAAGGAAGGCAATTAATGGTGCACAAATTGGATTTTATTTACATGTCTATAGTTGGAGCTTTAATATTCAGCATGACTCAACCAGACAGGATCCGATAGCTGGCTCCCGTACACCACGCTAGGGCCAGGCTGTACCAGAACCGCATCTGTGGGAAGGCTGCCAACCCAAACCTACCACGGCTGTGAGGTTCAACCTCTCTCACCGAACACTTCGCATTTCCATCTTCACATACACAACACAGGAAGTAACACAGAATCATTTTTTTCAACAACAACAACAAATGCAGAGGTGCCTTCCATGACCTAATCAAGCAGTCGCAACAGTATGTAGTGAGAGTTCTTACTTTGCAGTTCAAGAGATACTTCAGAGATAAATTTCCCTCTTATGTTTAAGAGCTAAGTAGCTATTGAGTGGGAGGGTTTCCCATTTATATTTTTCTAACTGTAGCTCAAAGCTTAAGCAAGTCAGGCATCTACCAATCCAAAGCCAGTGAGATTTCAGGTCTCCCTTGCACAGTTGTTTGTTTGTTGTTTTTTTTTTTTAAGATAAGTGAAAAGCCTAACTGCAATCTTAGATGCATACGTACCTTTTGCCACTTATCTCTACTGAAAGCTTCCTCCTAATATAATTCAACATTTCTCTAATAGAAGGAAAACCATATACCTAATTTTCATATTTTCTGTACAATTAACACATTGGTTATTGCAATATTTTCCTTATATCCTAGACTTTTGGTAAAGGTTTGGAAATTAGCAGGATTTCAAGCCTTGTGCTTTTCAAAGGATCTTTCTCTCTCTCTTAAGTTTCAAGCTAGATTCAGCATCTGCCTTTTGGGGGATCTAGTGCTTCTTATTTGGTGGTTCCCAACTTGTATTCCAGCGCTGTAGAGGAGCGGGTTCAATTTCGGTTGCATAATTACCGAGACAAACTTCAGCACTTGGAACACCCCTGTGCTTTAAGTGCTCTTCAGTCATGGCACATTCAAGCAAACATACTGACTTCCCTTTGGCAAAGGCGGTGTGTGGGGTATTCGCAACAGGCCATTCACATCAAACAGTTGTCTCTGTTTTTTTAACAGTTTGACTATGAAGGTGCTGGCATATCATACTCTTCTCTTTTAGGTACCTGAGATGAAGAGAGAGAGAGAATGCATTTAAGTAGCACAGAATCCTGCAAAAATTCAGCCCAAATTCTAACGTGCTAGTTGAATGGCTG